TTGAAAATGAAACAGAACTATTGCATTTAATTTAATTATATAATTGAATTTGAATTTTTTGTTTCTGTTTTTTTGAAAATGGTAATTCAGTGAACTAGCGATGAGACCATATTTTTAAATCAGTTAATATATATATATATATATATATATATATATATATATATATATATATAGTACCTTTTATTTAAGCATAAAAACAATAATAATAATTCAAAAAAAATGAATTACAATAAAAATAACTCAAAAGAAAACATTAGAATAGGTCTGGAAAACCGGAAGTCAAAATGGATACAACTGAAAGACGAAGAGAAAAATATATATAGGAAAAGTATATAAAAAAAATATAATATAGATATTTGATGTGAAATAAAAGACGAATTTTACAAAAATATATAACATTCTACACGAACACACATACGTGCAGACGGGCAGATAGATGCGCGGACACATTAATAATCTATAAAAAAAACCAAAAAAAAAAATATATATATATTTAATAAAAAATATAATTTTAAAAATCGAAATGTATAAACAGTCAATTCCTGATACTCCTTAACATGTGAACGGATTGATTTCCGTCTTCGAAACTCTAGATTCAGGATGATGAAAGTAACATCAATTATTATTAGTGACTATTTATTTGTACTTGCATCAATCAATATATATATATATATATATATATATATATATATATATACCGGGTGTAACAGCATAATTGTGCAAATCGTGTAACAGTATAATTGTCTATCCTGCAAAATGTTTAATATATTAAGAGACACTAAACTAATTCAGTTTTTTCCCCAGGTTTTCAGATAAGGCGTATAGCCATCTTGACACTATTTATCGTAAGAATCGCTGAAAAATCCTTCGAGTTATTCAGCTAGATAGAGAACAGGTTAAAAACGTTTTGATTCATTCCCGCTGTCTTTCCAAATGATCAATGTTGAGAGGAAAAAGATCATTAGGCTTTTAGTAATGTTACCAACATTCTTACTCTGGCCTCCAGCTTCAAAGTTCATTCAAGAACCATCAAAAGAACGGTGAATAAGTTTTAAAAAAGGGAACAGTAGGAAGGAAAACGGGATCAGAAGGTCATAACAGGAAAAGGGAATATCACTTCAACTTAGAGCTAAAGAGATCAGTTAGAAAAGATCCAACTCAATCCCTCATACGTTTAGCACGTGAGAAAGGAGTTTCAGCTATAGCAGTTCAAAGAGCAGTAAAAAAAAAAACTTGAAAATGAAATCATACGTGAAACCTGTGAAGGACCTTGTTACTCCAGGACAGAAAGTTAGAAGGGTAGAGATGGCGAAGATCATCTTGAATGAGTTAGAAAATGATCCTATATATGCATATTTGAACTTTATTTCAATCCTTCAGCGCTTCCGCTCCTTAGCTGTGATTAATTAATTAATGATGAACATCTCATTTTCGTTTATGATCGATTTCATTACGATTCTTCTGTTAAGCATGGAGAGTAATTATGCATTCTCATTGCTCAAAGTAGAGTTCAGCAGTGTTATAATAACCTCGGAGAATTCCACTAAGATATCTTTAATCACTTCCAAGATACAACAGTTCAGAACTTAATCTAATAATTGGAGAATTTTGTTATTTTGGCGTTATATATATATATATATATATATATATATATATATATATATATATATATATATATATATATAGTCAAACCTAGTCAACCAGACAAACCTATGACCAGGTTCCACCTAATGGATCGTCGTTTTTTTTTTATTTTCGGCTTTGAACCTGTATAATAAAATTTTTTTTCGACAATAAATTTCATGTTCCTGGCTCTTTCTTATTTTTTTTTTCCTTCGAGATTGATTTGATTACTATAAAAATTAAAAATTCGAAGGTTTTTTAAAGACAATAAAGTTATAGTTATTTATAGAAACAAGGATCTTTTCATTCATAACGGATTCGGAGGTTTTTGTATATTATTTGAATTGTTTTGTGACGATGGATTTCTCGCCAATTAAATCATTAACCTTTGCATTTTTTTTTGTGTGAATAATTCATGAATTTGTAAATTGATTGCACGTTATCGAAATTAAAATAACTGATCCAAGTGCGACTTTTGGATAATAAGTGCGACATTACTGTAATTATTGAACAATATAATTCATGCCACTTTAACAGAAAATTTACCAGTAAAAAATTCGTTCATCACCATATTTGTACATGAACGCACAACTGTAAAAAATTTAAAATCAAACTCAGCGTTGCTATTGCTCGCTCCAAAAACAATAACTCATTTCCAATAGCATTTTCGGATACAACAATACATATATTTTCGTTGTCCTCTTATTACTAAGAGAAAAAACAAGAACAACATCTATTCCATACCTGAAGATGTCTGTAGGAACAGACGAAAGCTTGTAGTAAAAATAAGAACTAATGCGGCAGAAATTTATAGAAACAAGGATCTTTTCATTCATAACGGATTCGGAGGTTTTTGTATATTATTTGAATTGTTTGCGACGATGGATTTCTCGCCAATTAAATCATTAACCTTTGCATTTGTTTTTGTGTGAATAATTCATGAATATATATATATATATATATATATATATATATATATAATTAGTCATATTTTGTGAAGTAGTCTGATCGAGAACTTATAAGCGTTTCCTTATATATTTCTATTTTATCTTATTTGTTAAAAAAAATATAAGTCAACGCTCCCACATCTTCAACTGAAGGTTACCTGGTTTACAACACCTGAAAAAGACCAGGTTACAAAATTGTTTAAACGTTGTGATAATTACAACAAAGATGAGGGCATTAAATCGATTGTAAAGAATTTTAATGAGACAACGATAATTATATTTCTTTTCTTCCTTCTTTCCCTTCTTTTTTCTTACCTTTTTTTCTTACCTTTCTTCTCACAGTAATTCGTTTTTTTTTCTTTAAATTTGTGCGTTTATTTCCCATTTATTTCTGTTGTACAATTTCCCCTACATACCCACCTCCAACACCCAGTTTCTTTGATTTCTTACGACTTTCTCTTCTTTCCGCTCGACACTTTTCGTGCATTTTGTTCCACTAAGACACATCTTTTTCCCTCTCTTCAAATTTCGACATGCTTTCTTTTTCCTTCTTATTTTTGCTTCGTTAGCTCCTCTTCTTTTCCCTGTCACAGCCTTTTTACTATCACAGCAACAATTTCACCATCGCAGCCTCTCTTTCACCATCGCAGCCTCTCTTTCACCATCACAGCCTCTCTTTCACCATCACAGTCTCTCTCCCATCATCACAGCCTCCCTTTTACCATTGCAACCTCTCCTTCATCATCGCAACATCTCTTTCACCATCGCAGCCTCTCTTTCACCATCACAGTCTCTCTCCCATCATCACAGCCTCCCTTTTACCATTGCAACCTCTCCTTCATCTCTTTCACCATCGCAGCCTCTCTTCCACCAGCACTGTCTCTCTGCCATCATCACAGCCTCCCTTTTACCATTGCAACCTCTCTTCCACCATCACAGCCTCTCTCCCATCATCACAGCCTCCCTTTTACCATTGCAACCTCTCTTTCACCACCGCAGCCTCTCTTTCATCATTCCTATTTCTCATAGCGCTTGTCTCTGGGATAAACCACAAAGCGTCTACATTTCAATTCACATCACACACTTGACAAATGAGAGTATATGAGAAAATCACACGATACCTGTAAACCGTTGCCAGTGAAGAGAAAATTCTCAAATGTGTACTTTTACCAACATGCCTGTTTGTGTTTCTTCGTGGAGAAGCAGGGGTTAGGAATCTCTACCTGTAGGTCATTAGTACGATTCTCACTGAAAACAATATAAATTTATTTGTAACCTTACTTGAACCAAGCAATTTTTTAATGTCAGTCATACATGTATCTTTTATAATTAATTAGTTAACGCATCTCATAAAATATCACAGTCAGTAAGGCTAAAACTCTACTTTAAATCCTGTAAAATCTTATATTAACATCTTTACTGATGTTATCAAAAATGGTGGTTTAATTTAAGTACTTATTATTATTCAGTCAGTTATGTGCCATGTGTGATACACGCTTAGGCGATCATGTATCTTTCGATATATGACTGACGAGGCAGATTTTTTCCTGCAGTATGTTGCCATTTCTTTCTGCGGTAGACCAGTTGCCATCCAAGTCTATAGAACCTGGTCTGTCCAGCTATAGTTAGATCAGCTAGTCAGTTATGTGCCATGCGTGATACACGCTTAGGCGGTCATGTATCTTTCGATATATGACTGACGAGGCAGATTTTTTTCCCGCAGTAGGTTGCCATTTCTTTCTGCGGTAGACCAGTTGCCATCCAAGGCTATAGAACCTGGTCTGTCCAGCTATAGGTAGATCAGCCAGTCAGTTATGTGCCATGCGTGATATACGCTTAGGCGGTCATGTATCTTTCGATACATGGCTGACGAGGCAGATTTTTTCCGCAGTAGGTTGCCATTTCTTTCTGCGGTAGACCAGTTGCAATCCAAGGTTTGTCCTGCTATTTACCCATTGCTGGGCGGAGAAGAAGAGGATTCATATCTTTACCAAGAGTATTAGCATATAAGTGAATGTAATAGATTCGACTGAAATTCGAACTCGGCTCTCAGATTCCTCAATCCAAGCCGCTATCCATTACTCTACCGTAGAAGGTTTTAACACTTAAATCATTAATTATATATTTTTCCACTCATTACCTTATTGATTAATTCGTTTTCTACGGTTTGTTAACCCTTTGCAAGATATCTAAAGCCATAATATATATTTTAGATTGTAAGAAATTTGTTTGGAGATAATAATGGTTTAGGGATACAGGTCTTACTAATTAACCCATAGCTGGAGGGTGAAGAGGTTCATGGTTCATTCATATCTTCCCTAAGGGTATTTGCCCGTAAATGAATATAACGAACCCAACCGGAATTGGAACTCGGTTCTCTGATTAAAAATTCTGAGCCATTATCCATTACACCGCCCGCAAATCCAAGCTTACTGCAACCGGTATTAGGAAGCGGTCACCCATCTAGTTACTGACCAGGCTCGACGTTCCTTAACTTCCGTGATCATATGGAAACCGTTGTTTCAACGTGATATGGCCGTAAGCCTCAATCATTCTTTTGATATATAATTCAGTCCTCTTATATGATGATCTTCTAAGCTTAGCTTAATTGTGGCACAACGCCGAAAGTATGGGGCACCTAGTTAGGATTGAACTCACTACTCAGTCGTAATTGATCTAGCAAGACAAGCTTGCTAACCATAACACCATGTCGAAGTGCCAGATCTTCTTATATGTCAACGAATAATGCATAATCTTCCCACAGACGAAAAGAAAACAGGAGACAACAGAATATGTCTCTACAGAAGGATACTGAGAATTACATGGACTGAACAAGTAAGCAACGAGGAAGTCTTAAAGAAAATGGTAACAAAAAGAACACTGATACTCGGAATCAGAAAGACAAAGTTGGCATTACTTAGACACATAATGAGGAAGGACGGCTTAGTAAAATTGACCATCACCAGCATACTGTGAGCAAGAGAGACAGGGTGAGGCATCGAGCCACTTAACCAACCAGCTTGTGTGAATGGATGGCCCGACGAGGGACGGTAGGCCTGGCAACGAGAGAAACGCTACTAAAGGCCACAAGAGATAGGAAATTGTTGAGGACTATGATCGCCCACGCCCCAAAGGGTCACGACGCATAGAAGATCAGGGTCCATTTTGTTACTTAATAACCCTGGAAAATCGTACCCCACTTTATATTCAGTAGAATCTTATATAATTTTCCCCATGCATTCAATTTATTTTGTTCAAAAATTTCTAAGACTCAACCAGAAGTAGCTGGAAAAACAAGACAGTTTTTCATTATTTTCAGTATAGTCCCTCTTGATATCAATGCACTTGGTCCAACGATGCTTAAACATTGCAATCTCATCACAGGAGAAGCTGGCGTCCTGGTCCTTAAAAAAACTCCTCCACAGCACATATGATCTCATCATTGTTTCTGAAATGTTTCTAAAATGCCGACCACGCAGGTGGGACTTGAGTTTAGGAAGCAGGACAGAGTCAGATGGAGCTAAGCCACGGTTGTCTGGTTCAGCTACCGCAACCTGAGCAGTGTGAATGGGCGTGTTATCCTAGAGAAAGAGCACACCTGCCTTCAACTTCCCTCTGCGTTTCGATTTGATTGATCCTTCAGTTTTCTTAATTCTGATTCATAATACTGTCCATTAATTTTTTTTTTCCTTTTCCAGGTAGTCTATCATGATTACACTTTCAGAATCCAAAGAAAACAAAAGCCATCACCTTGCCAACAGACGATGCTTGCTAGAACTTCTTCGCGGGTGGAGAACTAGAGTTTCCACTGTTTGCTTTGATTCAGCTTCGAAGTGGTGAACACAGATTTCATCTTTAGTTAATAATTTGAGGTGGAAATTATCAGGTTCTGTCTGGAAGCGAGTCAGAATTGTCCTGGAAATGTCAACACATTTCAGCCTCTGCTCCGGTGTCAGCATTCTTGGAATCCACCTTGCAGACAACTTGCTTATCCCCAAGATCTCAGTTAAAACAGTATGGACCGAACCAGAGCTCATGCCTATGGACTTAGCTATCTGCTGGACAGTAAAGCGTCTGCCATCCAAAACCATACGATGAATGGCATCAATTGTTCCTCAATGGTCGAGGTTTTTTTGACGACGTGAGCGAGTCTGTGTTGTCTCTGCTCCGCTTGAATTACGCAGCCCAGAGTTGCATAGGAAGGCGAATCCTCAGCAACTGTCTGTACCATGTCCTCATGGATTTTCCTCTATTTCTTTATGCCGCTGTTGTGTCCATTTTTAGATTTGTCACACAACTCTCACATTTGCATGGGCTTCACCTCCACAGAAATTAAGGCAGAAATCTGAATTAGCTTTCATAGTTTTATAAGTTGTCACGTGTTGCCATAACAAAAAATGTTCAGCTATGACTCTTCGTTCTTGGTGAGGCTTACAACTTTTTAAACGACCCTCGTACATCCTTACTATGATTACGTTTTCACATGTGACGTTTTAAATATATTTTTTCCAGTTATTATATAAAGGTGCACTAATTTTTAGGTGATCAGTTTATTATTAAATGGCCAGAGACATCCGTTCAGAGATATTGAAGAGAAAGCACTAGGCAATAAAAATGTTAATGAGTTGATTTATAGCTTCAACTGAAGTCTTAACATTGTTTTCGCACTAAAAATAAAAGAATAAACTCGTTGTTGGCGCCCGCCGATGAAAATGCATCAAAAAATGCCAAACACGAAATAACTCGTAATCGGCGTCTGGATAAAAAAGTAAAAAAATAAATGACAACCACGAGTCAACTCTTGGTTGGCAGTCAATGTGCTAAGTCAAAATTAGGTTCAGGCCTATTAACGAATGCCTAATGCATTGAGCTAATTGCTTCACAAAAGATCCCTTTTGTGAAAACATAACGTAGTACAAGTTTTATGATCAGTTTCGTTTTACAAAAATAATAGGAAGTCGCAGTATACAATGGTATTTTTTAAAGATGCATTGTATAAGGTATTTGTTGATTTTAAGTGGCATACGTAGTGGCTGAGGTTTTGCTCTTCATGTAGCGACAAGAAACTTAGGTTAAGTTGGAAACAGGCCCAGGGTCAAGGAGCTACCGTAGTTAGCCATGAACGGAAACAAAAGTACGGTGTCTAAATCTTTGTATCAGATATTTTGCGATAACTGGTTTTTCTCACCATTTTGGGATAGCTTTGTACAAAAAAGGAATGAAGACCATTTATGTGCTATAAAATATGTCCAGGGGGGTGGGGTACCCAGTACTGCAATATTTGACTACAGAAGGCTAATAGTATTGTTCCGAAGCTGGAGTCGGTTTTACACGAGTTATATGAAAAAATCAGGGTTTTCAAAAAAAATTCAGGAGGCACACTATACATTAAGTAGACTTCTATACGATTATATTCGGTATACAAAGTTCAGTTGAATTTCCTAGTCTAGATATACATAAGAGAAACTTTTGAATAATTTTCTAATATTTATATTGCTATTAATTCAGTAAATTTACTATGATTTCGCTTGCTGAAATAATTCAGTACAGTTTTCAGTATTTCTAATTAAACAGATTAGTGTGATATTTAGATAATTTCGAAATTCAGCGGGGGCACTATACATAAAGTAGGCTTATACACGAGTATATACTGTATTCTTTTATATAAATTCCTAGATGTTTCAGCTGTGTATTTTTGTTACATTTGTTTGCGGTCTCTAGTGTAGATATTTGTTTCGTGTTTTAGGTTGTTATTATTTAATCAGTCTATCAATCAATCAATCATCATCAAACAATCGGCAAATCATCAATCTATAATAATGATAATAATAATAATAATCAATTAATCTTCAATTTATTCCAGATGTTTTAAATACAGGGTGTCCATAAAGTTCGTGTGTACTTTAAAAATGTATAACTTTATTTGTATTTGCGATAGAAATAATCTGTAAAAATTTTTTATAAAGTTTAATGTACCTATACGTATAGCTACAATAACTAATGTTATTTCAGGCATTACTGTAAATCAGTTGACAAAATCGTAAACTGCAAAATCGTATTACCATTTGTATTACTAATGATAGAGGACATGTGGAAGCTTAAATAAAATTTTAACAAAACCTTAAAAAATATAGATTTACTTCTTTCTAATTCTTTTTACAAATTATTTCTATCGCAAATACAAATAAAGTTATAAATGTATATAGGTAGAACCCTGTACTATCGCCATCTCAAAAATACATAATGTAATTATCTGCTATTGATTGCCTTTATATTCATTCGTTTCAAATACGAAGTTCTACATACAGGCAAGACGAAAAACTATAAACTGCATTTAGTCGGAATTATGGTCAATGAATATCATATATGAATGAAAAGTTGTAATAAATATGGCGACAAAGATGAGGACAATAGTCCGAATAATGTAAATAGAGTCAGAAGATTATCTAATTTTTTTACGAGTGGGTGCTATATCTGTAAAAATTACTTGGAGATTATAACTCAAGGGCTTTTTTTAACTACCCAGTAATCTTAAAAATTTAGAAAAGAATTCTCTGTAATCTCATGTTTTATTAAATTTTAGGGACTTTGGCTTTAAATTTACTATCGTTATCGCTCTTATTTTCTTATTATGTCGTGTATGGATGCCCGTATTTACAAAAATCGGCACGTTTTGTACACAAACAAAAATACGAAATTATTTTTAAAAAAGTGGGTTCGCTGAATTATAGTAAATATTTCCATTTATGATTAGTAAATATAGTTTTTACTTAATAACAATATCACCTAACCTGGACAAAGTCACACAGAAATTTAAAAGATTTAAAACTTTATGAATTATTCTAATTAATCTTTTTAAAAAATTAAAATCATTCTTGTAAAATTTAATTATTATATTTTTTTATTTTACGATTCAGATTTTCTGTAACTGATGGTCCAGTTTTACAAAAAGAAAGTAATGATTGAAATTCTCCAAGGAGTTCTGCATATAATTAATATGAACAATAATCGGTACAAAAATTAATTTCTCGAAATTTCATAAAATTAAATAATTTTAGGATAACAGATGTAAAAAAAAAAAAAAAAAAAACATTTTTACCAAGATTTTCTAAAAAATAAACATTTCTCAAATAATTTCATTCATTTGTGAATTAGTCCTGAGAGTTTCATTAAAATCCGACAATTATTCGATTTTAGCAAGAATTTCCCAATTAAAGTGTTTTTTACCGCAAAAAAGATACTCAAATCTCCTATATTATGCTTTGGTACATAGCTGACGCAAGAACAAGAAAATATTCAGCTAATATTTTGAATGTTTAAAAAGGAATCAAAAAATATAATTTAATAATTAAAAAATCATCTTCGATAAAGAACGCCACAGTTGGGACTGTTCAGCAACTATGACATATTTGGAAAAGATATTAGAATAATCAAGAACCTATACTGGAAGCAAATCGCCTGCATACTTGGAAAAAACGAGTTCAGCAGATATACAAAAATAGAAAGGGGTGTAAGACAAGGATGTGTCTTATTCAACTTATA